GGGGGGCGGAGCCCGCTGCGCATATGCTTTGCTCACAGCCTGAGGATTGGGGGCACAGAGAGCTGCAGGTTCACAAATCCCTTAAGAGCCTGCTGTGGAGCAGCTGGGCAGCCGGCACTGAGCAGCCTGGGCATCTCAGGAAAGCAGTTTCCCTTTCGGAGGGAAGGCTTGGTGTCCCTCAGCCGGCAGAATAAAGCCATGTGTCACAGCCCCTCGGCTGAAGTACTCTGAGCTGCAGGTTTCCAAAGCTGCTGTGCAGTGCTCTCACCGTTTGCCGGCTCTGTTTGGCTCCCGGTACTGTGGAGCACTTACCCAGCGGCACAGCCAGCAGGTTAAAACCAGCACTGCCCCTGCCTGTCCTGCATCCCTCACTCCCCCATAAAATCCTGTTTGCCTTCGAGACGGAGAGCAGCCACGAGACTTGCTGGGACCTGTGCTGACTCTTGCCGCACAAGATGACAGCGAGAGACGGGCCCCAAGATAGGTAATGCCGGGCTCTGGTGTAGGTGTGGGGGCACATCCAGGATACCAGAAGGTGAGGGAGGACAGGAGGACCCAGCATCTGGGGGACCCCCTCTCCTGCATGGTCACTGGGCTACCAAGCTGTCCCTTCCCTGAGATGCTCTCTGCATAAGCTTTTCCATAGCAAACGGGCTGTAAACAGCCCCTGGCGCTGGGACACACCTGGGGAGTGTGACTCCCTCCCAGCTCTGGCAACAGCTGCTGTGCATCTGGGTGCCACATGCTGAGGAGCAGCCAGCCTCCCCGCCACCTTCGTACCCTCCTGCAGAGGGCCTCCCACGGCCCCTCTGCGGTGCCACATCTTCTCCGGCAGCCCAGGCTAGCAGGGGCTGTGGGGCAGGGGCAGGGACAGGGCAATAAATTTCATCCTCCCTCCTCCTCCTGGTGCCTCCCGCTGCGGGGTCGGGGACAGTCAGAAGCGATGCCTGTCCCCTGCCCTGCCCAGCGTCCCGCTCCAAACTGCTCTGTCTCCTCCGCAGGTACAAGGCTGTCTGGCTGATCTTCTTCATCCTTGGCCTGGGAACGCTGCTGCCATGGAATTTCTTCATGACCGCTAGGGAGGTGAGGGCTTCCCTCCCGCTGCTGCCCATGCCACGTCCCCCTGACGTCCCCTGTCACCTGTAGGGACCGTGGGGTAGCTGTAAAAAAAAACCGTGGTGTAGGTGTGGCAGCACGGCACAGCATAGAGCCCCCATGCAGGAGACAGAAGCGTGGGTCACCTGGGTGGGACGAGTGGCGCTGAGGCGGCAGGAGGGCTGGGCATGGGGCCAGAGGGGGGACAAAGGTGGCCTGAGTGTGCTGGGGGGAGGCCTTGCGGCACCTTGGCCCCACCAGGCTCCTTCCCTCGCAGTATTTCATCAGCCGCCTTGCGGACCCAGAGATGAGCCGCTTCTGGAACCAGACCAGTGAGGCTGCCGTGTCCCCCTCCTACCTGCAGTCCATGTTTGACAACTTCATGACTCTCTGCGCCATGGTGCCCCTCCTCATCTTCACCTGCCTCAACTCCTTCATCCACCAGCGGTGAGCCTTGTCCTGTCTTTGCCCCTACCAGCCCCCATAGGACTGCCCAGCCCTGGCCCATCCTCCTGCCCCAGTACTGAGCCAAGCCGCAGCCCGTTCAGTCAAGTCAAAGGCAAAACACTGGTCTCCTGTGCTGGGGTTTGGCTGGGATTCTCATCGGAGAGCTTGGCCCCAGCCTCACAGGCTTTTGGGGGGTGGGTTTTCCTCACTGAGACCCTCTCTTGCAGGATTCCCCAGCAGATCCGGATCTTGGGCAGCCTGGTGGCCATTGGGCTGGTGTTCTTAGTCACTGCGATCATGGTGAAGGTCGCCATGGAGCCTCTTCCCTTCTTCGTCTTTACCATGATCAGCATCGTCTTCATCAACTGTGAGTGAAGCAGCGGGGGGAAGGAGAGGGGCACAGCCCCATGGCTAGGGCTCATCTCTCTGGGAGAAAAGCAGGAACCTCACTGTGGGAGAGCCAAGGAGGAGGGGAACCTGCCTTGCCTCGCAGGGTGGGGGCCTTGGCTCCCCACAGAGGTACAGTCCATCCTTGCCTTTGGTTTCTCATTTCTGCTCATCCTTCCCCTTTACAGCCTTCGGCGCCATCCTCCAGAGCAGCCTCTTTGGGCTGGCAGGGCTCCTGCCTGCCAGCTACACAGCTCCCATCATGAGTGGGCAGGGCTTGGCAGGCACCTTTGCTGCTTTGGCGATGATCTTCAGTATTGCCAGTGAGTAATCCCTTCCCTGAGGGTGACAGAGCACTGCTGTCAACAGGATCTGCTGGGGTCATGCTGTAGGGTTGGATGGGACATGGCAGCAGGGCCTCGCTCCTCTCAGCCCTCATCATCTTCTTCCTTCTTCCCGTCTCCTCCCTTCCTGTGCTTCCAGTTGGCGCCCAGCAACCTGAGAGCTTCATTGGTTACTTCACCACGGCCTGTGTGGCGATCGTGCTGGCAATCTTCTCCTACATCCTTCTGCCTCGCATGGTGAGACTTTGTTGTTGTGGCGGGGAAGGGTGTGCGGACATGGGACCTTCACGCATCACAGCACCAGGACCGTGGCCCACTAGCACCCCAGCCTTGGCTCCTACCAGCCTCCACCTCCTGGGTCAGGGCAAGCTCTCCCCTGTCCTGAGGGAGCTCTCTGGGATACTTCCCACCTCAGATACCCCAGTACCCTTGGGGTACTGTGGAAATGAACCCCTGGGTGAGCTGGAAAGGATCAGTATCGGACATAAGTCGAAGGAATACTTTGCCCATATTGCATTTGCCCATATCTGCTATTACCACACAGCCCCTGGCAGCCTTCTTTCCTCACACATAAGTGAGTTCTCCGTGGCTCTCTCTCTACAGGATTTCTTCCGATACTACTCCATGAAGGACAAGACAGAGTACCGTGTGTACAATGCAGAGCTGGAGACCAAGAGAGACCTGATTAAGAAAGGTGAGGGGCTGAGAGGAGGAAGAGGAAGGAAAAAGAGGAAGAGCTGAGAGGAAGAATGAGACAGGACTAAATTAGATCTCAGCTTTCTGGGGTCTGCTATGCCCTACTTGTGTCTCTCCCTGCAGATGAGCCCAATGGGATGGAGCAGAATAACTCAAAGATCATCCCTATCCACAACCCTGAGGAGAAGCCCTCGGTCGTTGCTATTTTTAAGAAGGTCTGTGAGTTGCCAGCAACCCCTGCCCTGCCCTTCATATCAGGGGATGGGCACAGGTGTAGGAGAGCATGGGGAGAGGAGACCAGCCCTGCACTGGTCTCTTGCCCTGTGTTTGGTACCAGCCTCTTTCTTTCATCTGCCTAGCTCTGGGTCATGGCTGTGTCTGTCTGCTTCGTCTTCACTGTCACCATCGGCGTCTTTCCTTCCATCACAGCTAAGGTGTCCACTGTCCTCGGAGAGGGAAACAGATGGGGTAAGTGTGGCCAGGGATGGGGTGGGGTAGGAGGAAACTGGGAAGAGGGGAAGAGGAAACCACTGTGCACGATGGTTTGGATGCGGACACCGGCCTGGCTGGGAGACCGTTCCAGCCCTCAGTGGGAAACCAGGGGGACCTAGACCTGAAAAACAGTCTCTGAGCAACTGGCGGGGGGCCTGGGGCACCCTGAGCTCGTCAGTGACCTTCTCCCCCTTCTGCAGGTCTCTACTTCATCCCTGTCTCCTGCTTCCTGCTCTTTAATGTCTTCGACTGGACGGGACGGAGTCTCACTGCCCTCTTCACATGGGTAAGCATGGGGCAGGGAGCAAAAGCCCAGGCAGGCTCCATCCCCAGGCCCCTTGGCCACGGCTCTCACTGGGGCTGCCATCCATGGCTTGGAGCAGGAAGGAGGTGCAGAGCTGACTCCTGCCTTGGCTTTAAGTCCTAAGCAGAGATTTATGGGTCAGAGCCGAGAACCACAGTGTTGTCCTGTCCTCCTCCCACCCCTCTTTCAGCATGGCTTGGATGAAGCTGCCTCCTCCACTTCAGCCTCTTTGTAAACAAACCTTCACTCCAGATATGCAAACAGCCAGGCAGGACAGCGGCAGCGAATGAGGGTGAAAGGCAGGGCAGCCCAAAATAGAACCTCTGGCCTCCGCACAGGACACAGCTGCTCTTTAAGAGCCTTGTCTTGGGAGCAGGGCAGAGTCATGCCACGTGGGTCACAGAGCTGTCCCCTGCCGCATCCCCTTGCTCTCATCTCCTCTGCCTGGCTCAGAGCTGCTGGGGCTGATGGGAACTGTGATGGGGGTGGGTGAGGAAGGGGGCTGTCCCATCTATCTCTCTTCCTGCCCCTTCACCCACCCCCCAAGCGCCGTTTCCCCCTGTATTGTTCAGGCTCTTTGTTTAGAGGAGCTCCTCAGCACCATGTGCTGTGGGGTCTGTCCAGGCCTGGCTTCCCTGCAGCCTGGAGCTGCTTCTCCCCTGGCTTGTCACTGCTGGCTGCCCTCGCCCCTCGCCCCACGCCCTCGCTGTTGCCTGGTGTCCAGGCCGCAGCCTCCGTGGTGGGATGACCCAGCAGGAGACATTTCCAAAACAAGGCTGTGTGGAAAGTCTGACAGCGTGTGGTTTGGGCCTCATTTCCCTGGTTGGGGCCCCGCTTGCTCCTTTTCTCCTCCTCAAGCAGGAGAGGCTGCTGCTCTTGCCAGTTTGCCCACTGACACAGCAGCTGGCCTAACCACAGCTTCCCCCTGTGCTCATGAAGTATTCTGTGGCTACGCCAGCCCAGGCAGCTCCCGAGGCAGCTGTGGGTCTCTCCTGACCCCAGATCAGTGAGCCCTGTCATCTGCGACCCTGGCAGCCCACTGAAGGGACCCCAGACGGAGCCAGGCACGTCTGGTACCAGGGGCTGCCTTGGTCCCAGCTGCAGGGACAACACAGGGGGACGGTGCCTCCTTCTTCGTCCCAGCCACACGTGTCCAGGGACTCTGTTAGGACCCGAGGAGACCGTAACTCGGTCTGAGCCTTTCCTAGCACTGTCCGAAACAGCCCCAGCATAATCGCTTTCCCAGATTGCTGGATCTCGCCCCGCTTGGCTGGGGGATGGCGTAGGAGGCTGAAGAGCTGGTTAAAGCCCAGTTTGCAGGCCCTGAGGTGCCAGAGGGGATTTACCTCAGCCAGCCTTGTCCTGCACGGTGGTTCGCTGCTGGAGGAGATTGCGTGAGCGTGCACAAGGCTTTCCTGCCTGCCTGCCTGTTTTTTCCAGCAAGGCCTTAGCAATCGCTCACAAGCCCAGCTCAGTATTTTGGATCTAGTGTTGCTGCTCTCCACGTCAGCTAGGATAGGATTTTCAGACCTAGTAGGACCTCCTTACCACAGCAGGTGGTGATGCTGAGATTTGTTGCAGCAGAAAAAGTCTCTCAGCAACTTTGCCATCTCTGTGTCTCCTCCGCAGCCCCGGCGCAGTAGGGACAGCCTCTGTATAGCCCCTGCCGGCATGCCATGGGATGGGGAATGTCTGCTTCTCAGCTGCTCAGTGACCTGTGTTTTTCTCCCAGCCCGGGAAGGACAGCTGCCTCCTGCCAGTGATGGTGGCCCTCCGTGTCATCTTTATCCCTCTTTTCATGCTGTGCAACGTGCAACCCCGTGACTACCTGCCTGTCGTATTCTCTCATGACGCCTGGTACATCATCTTCATGATCTTCTTCTCCATCTCCAACGGCTACCTGGCCAGCCTTTGCATGTGCTTTGGGCCCAAGTGAGTAAGAGCTGGGGACAGGGGAAGGGTTGGTTACACCCCCAGATGCCAGCCCCAGCATGACTCCTGGAGTCTGGCTCTGCCCAGCTTTGGCATCCAGAGAAGGGGATGCAGGCGCAGAGGGGAATCGCCACACCGCCTCAGGAAAGACAACTCCAGTGTCCCATCTCCCAGCCTTGTGCCTCCATATCCTAGCGATGAGGAAGCTATTGTTTGGGCTCTCCGTTTCCCCCACCTGCCACGCTGGGGAAGGGGCCGGACGCAGCGGGGATCTGGAGGGGAGCAAAGCAGGGCACAGCACCCACAGCAGGGTGAACAGTCTTGCCCAGCGCAGGAGCACAGGCAGCACGAGGAGCCCAGCTGGGGCTCAGCCAGGCGGGCTGCACTGCATGGGGGCAGGAGTCGGGGAGAGGCGTCCCTGGCGTCGGGAGCTTCAGGGCAGCCTGCCTGATGTACTTTTTCTTTCTTTACGAGCCCATAATGTGGAGGCAGGCTCCTGGAGCCAAGGTGGATTTGCTCTTGCTGTTCCTCTGCTGCAGAGGAGCACAGCTTCTGGCTCCTCTGTGGCCTCCTCCCATCTCTCCGTTGAACTCACAGCAGGACATGGGGTACAAATCCCCGAGGACAGGTCGGACACCTGTTTCTCCCCTAGGAAAGTGCTTGCCCACGAAGCAGAGACAGCTGGAGCCGTCATGGCCTTTTTCCTGTCGCTGGGCTTGGCCCTAGGAGCTGCCGTCTCCTTTCTGTTCCGAATTCTCATCTAGCAGAGGCACCCGGAGGGTGCAGGGACACCGAGAGATGGCTCCACATCCTCCTCTGAGGCCCTGGACACCTCGGCGCCGTGGGGAGATAACGCCTCATGCCTGCCCCTGCCAAATCACACTTCCACGGCAGACGTTATGCCCAGGGACGGTTCCACTCCTGCAGGGTTGGCCTGGCTCCTGCCACGCTCGGCTGTGTGATGCCTTCAGGCCTACGTGCCTTCTCCTTCCCCATGCTGTGTGTATGTAAGACCCCTGGGATCTCACAGAGGTCCAGCCACCTACCACGCTGCGTAATTTCCCCAGCTCAAGGCCAAAAGCCATTCTCAGCCTGTTCCTCTCTGACGGAGTTGAAGGCTGGTATCCAGTGTTATTCCCTCTCTCGCCCTTGTCCCCAGGGTGCCTAGGGACTTGCTTTCCTCTCCTGTCCTCTCCTTCCAGGGGGCCTGGAAAACATCTCACACCACTTCTCCTGCTGGCAATAACTGCAAAAGGGGAGGAGAGCCCCAGCCAGCCTCGCCATGCCCGCTCTCTGCTAGGCACACATCCCCCTGCCCAGCAGCATCCCAGGGACATAGACATCTGTGTCCCACCCACATAAAGAGCCAACACCGTGGCTAGGCTGAAGGAGGAGGAGGTCTCCCCACCCCACCTTGTCCCCCTCTCCTTGCCTTTGTTCCCTACTTTTTTTTTTTTTTGGTGATTCTGCCATTGTTTTCTTTCTGCCTCCTGGTTATGTGACAGGAGGTCCCACCATAGGCTGCAAGAAAGGCGGCAACTCCCTTCCAACCCAGGCTGCCTTCCCTGCCCGCCTGTGCTGCAGGGGGAGGCCTGACCTCTCCCTTGGCTTTCCCATCCTTCATCTGTGTAAATGTATCTGTACAGTTGCAGTTTTCTATAAAAAGACCGAAACACCCGTTCGGGTATGTGTGTGTCTCCATCACCACAGGGGGAGAGGGCTGCGGAGGGGCAAGGGCCGGAGGGAGTGGGCACCAGCATTTTCTGGGTGTTCCCGGGGTCCCCTGTCGCCAGCATCAGGCGGTGAAGCGGCGTGTGTGTCCCCTGCACAGACAGGCCCAGCGGATCTCTGCTACGGGA